GTGCACAAAAAAGATAATAGACAATGTAGTGAATATAATCAATTGATAAATTTGAATGTAAAGAATTTTTACACTGCAGAAAAATAAAGACAATATAACTAATAAAATTATTTCTCTTAATTAATTTATTAATAATGAATCATTTTTTTTAATAAAGACATTGTAGGGACAATGTAGCGAATATAATCAGTTGATGAATTTGAATATAATGAATTTTTATATTGGAGAAAATAAAGACAATATAACTAATGAAATTATTTCTCTTATTTAATTTATTGATAATGATTTTTTTTTTTTGAATAAAGGCATTGTAAACACATAATTCTAAATTAAAGAAATGCATATGTATTATTTTTTGTTGTAGCTACTAAATTATTATTTAATTTAATAAGAGTAAAATAGAGTATTATATATGCCAACTCTGATTGTGATGGAGTTCAAACCTATGACATTTTTTTATTGAAATCAATGAGTAAGTAAACGGTGAACTAACAGAAAAGATAATATTTAACGGAAAAGTTAATGGATAATCATATTCATTAAGGATAAATTAGGAAATCTTAAGGAAAAAATAAAATCTGATCAATCTGAGCCATTCATTTGATTAAAAAATTTGACCGCCATTTTTTCTACCCATTATAGGCCTAACTCTCTTGGGCTCTTATTAGTATATATATACTAGTTTTTTACGTTTTTTCTACCCATTATATGCCTAACTCTCTTGGGCTCTTATTAGTATACTAGTTTTTTACGCGCATTGCGCGATTGGGATAATGCCCAATGTTTTTTTTTAAAATAAGTACTTTAAAGTATATCAAGACAAGATTATATTGGAATTGTTCATGCATAGACAATTGAATGTTAAATTGCGTATTTAAATAGGCAATTCTAAGATTACAAATGCAAGATAATATAGTCAAGATTGATTATAATTGTCAATAAAATAATTGTATAGGTATTGTTGAAACCAAAACGGGACATAAGGGAGAGCAAATAAAAATTAGGGCATAAAATATTAAATATTATTGAAGAGCTAATTGATGATTGCCAAACAAGAACATTGCGAGATAGTTTTTCACTTCAATTTGTTGTGTGATTTGAATACTCTTGTTGTCAATAAATCCCCCAAGTAGTTAATATGATTGACTTAATTATATATTTTTTAAAACAATTATTATTATTATTATTATTATTATTATTATTATTATTATTATTATTATTATTATATTATATTATTATTATTATTATTATTATTATTATTATTATTATTATTATTATTATTATTATTATTATTATTATTATTATTATTATTATTATTATTATTATTATTATTATTATTATTATTATACCCTTAGCTCATTTTACATGTTAATCTAAACAACTAATTTTTTCAAATATATTTTTACCAACCATTGATATAATTCGCTGGTCAAATTCGCTAATATAATCCGCTAACGCTAACCGCTAACTACTGATTGTCAAACAAGGACATTGCGAGGTAGTTCTCACTTCAATTTGTTGTGTGATTTGAATACTCTCTTTGTCAACAAATCCCTCAAAGTAGTTAATATGATTGACTTTATTAATTATATTTTTTTAATTTTTTCATGGTATTAATAAAATACTTGGTAAATAAATATATAACATTATTTTGTATTATAACTTTGATCTTTAATTAAAAAATAGTGCATAACAAAGATAATAGACAATGTAGTGAATATAATCGATTGATGAATTTGAATGTAAAGAATTTTTACATTGGAGAAATATAAAGACAATATAACTAATAAAATTATTTCTCTTAATTAATTTATTGATAATGAATAATTTTTTTTAAATAAAGCATTGTAGGGACAATGTAGCGAATATAATCAATTGATGAATTTGAATGTAAAGATTTTTTATATTGGAGAAAAATAAATACAATATAACTAATGAAATTATTTCTGTTATTTAATTTATAGATAATGAATAATTTTTTTTTGAATAAAGACATTGTAGATACATAATTCTAAATTAAAGAATGCATATGTATTATTTTTGTTGTAGCTACTAAATTATTACGGAGTATTTATAATTTAATAAGAGTAAAATAGAGTACTAATTATGTCAACTTTGATTGGGATGAAGTTCGAACCTAAGACCTTTCTTATTGAAATCAATGAGCAAGTTAACGGTGAACTAACAGAAATTAACAGAAAAGATAATATTTAACGGAAAAATTAACGAAAAATCATATTCATTAAGGATAAATAAGGAAATCTTAAGGAAAAATTAAAATCTGATCAATCTGAGCTATTCATTTGATTAACAAATTTAACCGCCATTTTTTCTACTCATTATAGGCCTAACTCTCTTGGGCTCTTATTAATATAGTATATATATATATATATATATATATATATATATATATATATATATATTAGATAGAAATACTTGACTCAGAGCTTTTTAACATAATGCATAACTACAAGAGTCAATTATTTGACTTTACAATTGTATTAATAGTCCACTTACTAACTATCCTAAATTGTGAAATTATTATTATTATTATTATTATTATTAAGTAGTACTACTGAGGTTTTTTTTTTTTTTTTTTTCTAACTGTAGTGATGTTTTTATCTATAGAACGCATTTAATTATCATTTTTTTTACCTAAGACTATATTCCAGTTTTGGTTTTCTGACTATAGTGGAATTTTTATTTCTTTTGTCCTTAACTTTGATTTTTTAAATTTGAAATCCTCACTTGTTAAAATGTGTCACTTTTAATTCAAAATACCCTAATTGTCCTTAAAATGCATCATATTGATCGTTAAAGTTTGGTGAAATTTTCATAAAATGAAAACATTTAGGGTATTTAAACTAAAAGTAAAATGTTTTCACGAATTAAAATCGATATACTAACTGGTCCAAAAGTAAAATAAATTCTTTCTTTGTATTTAATGCTTGCCATTTTTTTTTCAAAAAAAAAAATGCCCGACATTCTAAAAGTGAGGATTAATTCATCAATCTGAGTAGATTAACAATTAAGTGTTATTAAAAAATAAAAATAACAGGGCGTTTGGTTGGAGGGAGGGAATTATGTGGGAAAGGAATTATAATTCTATGGGAGTTGAATTACTGGGAATAAAGTGGGAATTTAAATTCCAGTGTTTGGTTGACAGGAATAAAATTACTGGGAATTTCAATTCCTATGTTTGGTATACATGGGAATTGAAAGGGAATAAGTAGTATAAAGTCAAAAATGTCCATTATTGTTGTTAGACATTAATTTTAGGTTAAAAAGGGAAGGGGTAATTTTGACTCATCACTATCTGTTTTTTCCAGGAATTAAAATACCAGGGGGACATGGGATTTTAATTCCATGAAAATGGGGGAATTGCAATTCCCTTCAACCAAACTACGGAATTTAATGGTCTTTGGAATTAGGTGGGAATTAAGTGGGAAGGGAATTTAAAATCCCTCCAACCAAACGCCCTGTAAGGGGTTGAAGTTTGGTGAAATTTTCATAAAATGAAAACATTTACAGCACGTTTGGTTCACGGAATGAATTTTGAGGTAATGGGAATGCTATTCCATAAGGAATGGAATAGGCAAGGAATAGAATAGGAATTGTATTCTAATGTTTGGTTCGCGGAAGGAATAGACTTTAGGAATTATATTACAGTGTTTGGTTGATTTAAGGAATAGAAATAAAATATGTTTTAAAAGACATAAATACCCTTATAAAAATATGTGATGGTGGCAATGGTGGTGGTGGTGGTGGCGAAGGTGGTGGTGGCGGTGGTGGTGGTGGTGGTGGTGGTGGTGCTGGGGTGGTAGTGGTGGTGGTGGTGGCAGTGGTGGGGGCGACGGTGGTGGTGGTGACGGTGACGGTTGTGGCAGTGGTGGTGGGGCGGCGACGGTTGTGGCGGTGGTGGTGGTGGCGGTGGCGGTGGTGCTGCTGGGTGGTGGTTCTGGTGGCGGTGGTGGTGGTCGCGGCGACGACGACGATGGTGGTGGCATGGTGGTGATGGTGGTGGTGGCAGTGGTGGTGCTGAGGTGGTAGTGGGGTGGTGGTGGTGGCGGTGGCGGCGGTGGTGGTGGGGGCGGGGAAGGTTGTGGCGATGGTGGTGGTGGTGGTGGTGGCGGCGGCAGTGATGGTGGTGGCAACAACGGTGGTGAAATAGGATAAATTTATGTATAGGATAAACAAAATTAGGTTAAAGAAAGGGGTAAAAAAGAAAATAGATTCTAAAATCTATTCCTGAGCGTTCAGTAATAGGCTAATATCAGGGGGAGGGCCCCTAGTAATAGCTATTACCATATTTGAGGTAATAGGCTATTACCAGGAATAGTATTCCTGGTAATAGAAATGGTTACCAAACAAAGGAATATGCCTATTACTGGGAATGCTATGTCATTCCCGGCCTATTCCGTGAACCAAACGGGCCATTAGGGTATTTAAACTAAAAGTAAAATGTTTTCAAAATTCACGAATTAAAATCGATATACCAACTGGTCCAAAAATAAAATAAATTCTTTCTTTGTATTTAATGCTCAACATTCTAAAAGTGAGGATTAATTCATCAATTTGAGTAGATTAACAATTAAAGGTTGTTAAAAAAAAAAAAAAAAAAAAGATGAGCGCAATTTTAAGTCTGACGACAAACCAAGTCGGGGTGAACTTTAAATATTAATAATTTTACCGGTGACCTAACTTTGTGATTGACAAAACTATATATAAATCCTTGTGTTAATTGTTAAAATCATGAGGAATTGGAGAGCGGCGAGGAAGCCTCCGACCAAGATCCCCACGTACACGTGGCGATCTCAGCAATATACTTACGAACCCTGCCGGCAAGCCTCGTGACGGATGACGTTAAATATTTACGGATAAATTGGATTTGTTTTTATTATGATTTTTATTTTTATATTTAAAGAATTAAAAATATTACACCTTTAAAAAAGTTAGAATTTTGATAGCACTATATATATATATAAGGAAGCCCGGTGTTTTGTGCTTTCCTAAAAACACTATCAACTTGGGAAATAGACTCTTGCTTTGTTTCTTCTTCTTCATCTTCATATCCTTATCTTTCTTCCACTCTCGGTCTTCTTCTTCATCACAGTCTCAAAGAGAAACCCAGAGAGAGATATAGATAGATAGATATATATATATATATATATATAGAGAGAGAGAGAGATGGGAAATTGTCAGGCTGTGGATGCAGCAGCACTGGTTATACAGCATCCTAGTGGGAAGATGGAGAGGATGTATTGGCCGATAATGGCGAGTGAGGTGATGAAAACCAACCCGGGCCACTACGTTTCTCTCATAATACCTCTGCCCATCGCCGCCGGCGATGAGAATTCCGACGACAAAACCGTCAGGTTCAGCCGTGTCAAGCTTCTCAGGCCTACTGATACTCTGGTTCTGGGCAGGGCTTATCGCCTAATTACTACTCAAGGTTAGTTCATATATATATATATATAGTTTTTCTTTTGTATTAGGAATAAGTTTTGGATGTGAATTTATATATATAATTTTGGTTGTTTTGATGTTGCAGAGGTGGTGAAGGTCCTGAAAGCTAAAAAGTATGCAAAGATGAAGAAGACAGATTCACAGAAACAGAGTTCAGGCTGTGAAGTAGAAGTAGAAGAAGAAGAAGAAAGGAAAAACAATCAAGTAAGAATATTCCTAGCTAGCTAACACCTACCCAATGAATAAATTAAATTTGATCATAAAATTAATTTTGTCCAAAAATGTGTGAGTGTATATAAGAAAATAAAGTTGTGTCTTCGGCTACTAGTTATAAGCTTGCTTTTGACGAAATGGTAAACGTTTGATCTAACAAGTGGTATCAGAGCGCCCAGGTGATGGGTTTGACCCTAACCTGGTGCTGGTAAAGGATGGCGGTGACAGTGACAGTCTATAAGAAAATAAAATTGTGTCTTGACTACTAGCTACAACTTGCTTTTGGCGTAACGGTAAACGCTTGATTGATGCTAAGAAATATATATAATATAATTTCAGGGCATGAGACATGAAAAACGTAGGCAGATGGGTGGGGCAACGAAGCTGGGTGGCGGTGGGTCTAAATCCTGGCGTCCTTCATTGCAGAGCATTTCTGAATCTGCTGCTGCAGCTGGGAGCTGATGAGGGATGGTTGGTTCTGAAATTTCAATGGAAGTTTAAATCCAAAAACTCTGATCTTAATTGAGATGGAAGATGAGTAGTTGTGTATAGCTAAAAGGAAAATGAAAAAACATGCCTGAGAACCAACACAGATCAGATCAGATCAGATCATACTAAAATGGAAATTGTGTTGGACACTTTTTCACATGTTCTTCAATTGATTGACACCACAATTATTGTAGCTTAGCTAGATTCAATTTAGAAGATCACTCTTGATAGTTGTTAATACATATGCAATTCAGTTTTTATTACCCAATCTAATCAATGTATTTGTTCAACAAATCAAGAGTTTGCTTATCATCTCATATCAAAGCATTAAGCCTAAATTAATTTCACCAAGATGCAAATACCATGACACACAATTCAAAAAGATCAAGTACTGCTTTAACATTTCTCATATCATAAACAAGTCAAGATCACTGGGGAAACCATAAACCCAAAACATCCCAAATGTAGAGAAAAAAAATTGATTATGAATTGAGAACAACAATTCCACCAAAGTCAAGATCAAGTTCTTTGGTGATGCCACACATATCATGCACCCAGGGGCGGAGCTGCCATGGCCCATGGAGGTCAATGCCTCCATTGCCAAAAATTAGGCTACCCAAAAACGACGTTGTTTTGGAGCTATATATATATATATATATATATATATATAGAGGGAAGGGTTCAGGTGCAGGGAAGAGTTACCATGCTGCTGTGCAAAAGACGCACCTTAAGAACAAAATTCATGCACCTTAAGTTTCAACAACTACTCATATTAAGTACACAACCCATGCACTTTAATCACAAAAAGCACGCACCTCAAATTTGACCTAGACACACTCCCCTATCGCACTGTCAGTCTATCCTCTACTTCGCCAGTCATCACTAAACACCAGTCGCCGCCGTCTTCAACTCTTCACCCTCAGGCCTCAGGTAGTCAAGTTCGTAGTTGGTCAACTCCGTCTATAAATCTTAATTTGTTCAATTGTTTGCCTTAAGTTTTGAGTTTTGAACTTATGCAGCAAATTTTATTATGTTTTGCCCTAAATTTCTTAATTATGTTTTGCTTATGTTTATCAGTTTATTTCTTAGCCCCCACTCAAAGAAAATTCTGAATCCGCTTTTGCATTTTACCTGTACTTTAATTTAATTGAATGACTTAAATTGTATTGTATAGATTACATACATGACTCGATCTGTCAACAAATGAATTGGAAGCCATAAACCCAAAACATCACTTCTGTTGTTACCTAAGCTAAAGGCTAAAGGCTAAAGCCATCATCATTCTTTCCAAACGACTTGCATTAATTGGAAGCCAAATTAAAGCATGACTTGTGTTATATATTAGCAAAGCTGAATCCATGAAAATTCTGTCCGATGTGAATCGGTAAAACCACACTATACACTCAAAACACCGATCACTTCTTTCATTAGCTAAGCTAAGCCCATAATCATTATATTATTCTTCCAAATGAATTGAAAACCATAAACTGCATGCATGCATGCCTCTTCTATAAACAAGAATATATATATGCAGTAACATTTGTGGGTTCAATTCCCACTCAACATTCACATTCTTCCAGAGCAGAATATAATGAAACAAATCAAATAATTAAATGGCTTGGCTTTTGAATCCAGTTCATTCCCTAGTTTGCTAACACATGACAGATTGTATTCGATCTATTCAATTCAATACTATAATAACCGAATCAAAATTTAGAACTTTTCAATGAAAATTCATCGAAATCCAATGGTGGAAAGTACATCTATCAATGTTGGGAACAATGGCAAGTGTGTGAGATCAGAACTCTCAACTAGCTTAGGTGTTTGATTAGGTTAACTTCGGTTTGCAAATCGGTACTCCAGTAGTTCTAATTGGCATGCAATTAAGGGACTGTTCTTATGTTACAACTACTTAGCTTGTTACGCTACCAAGTGGTTTGACAAAGTAGACAAGTTTAATGGGTTCAACTTTAAAATGCAATTAAAAAATGTTGTTCTCAGGTTTGTGAGGTTCTTGCTGATTGAGAAAGCTCTTCAAGTAAAGGAGATGTGCAAACTGTTAGTGCGGTTCAAGTATGAAAACACTCAAATTCAGATTTCCTATGCAAAAACTACTTACCTACTTGTGGCTTTCCAACCTTTGGCGTGGTAGGATTGGTCATCTTAATTTTAATTCTTTGCATACATGCATTATTAACATGATCGGACCTAGCTAATTCCAACATTTCAAATTGATGTTATTCAACGGTGTGAAGTTTTTGTTGAGGCAATACAACGAGAACCCCTTTTAAATCAATTGAAAGGAACACATAACTACTTTAATTAATCCACAATAATATATGTGGTTATAAATTAATAAAAAGAAGAGATTGTAATGAATATTTTATTATCTTTATTAATGATAACACTCGTTACTCATATATGTATTTGTTTAAGAGCAAGGACAGACTCATTAATAAATTCATTATTTATAAGAATGAAGTGGAAAACCAATTTAATAGAAAAATTAAGGTGGTTAGAAGTTAGAGCTGATTGAGGTAGCAAGTTAGTATGATGACCAACTGGTGATTATTACAAGGAACATAGTATTGTATATCAGAGTAGAACACCTTATTCACTTCAATCAATGTTGTTACTGAAAGTAAAAAAATCACACATTGAAAGAGATTATGAATGCGATGTTGCTGAGTTCAGCTTTGCACAAATATATGTGGTGTGAGGCTATTTTGTCAAATAAATAGTTTTTAAATAATGTATCATGCAATCAAGAACCTCCATAAGACTCTATATGAGTTATGGGATGTAGGAAATAATCCTATCAATATTTGAAAGTGTGGGACTGTTTTGCAAAAATAGTAATACCAACACTAATAAAAATAAATATAGGTTATAAAATTGTAAGAAGTAATTTTGTTGATTATGCACATAACAGTAGTGCTTAATGATTTCTAGTGTATGAATTCCATAATCCAGATATACATAAGAACACAACAATTGAGTCAAGAAGCGCATTGTTCTTCAAAGATGTATTTTCGCATAAGTTCAATGAATGACCTCTTATGTACGGAAGAACATTCGATGAGACTATATATAATGATAGTGGGGATTTGAATATGCACCTGATCGAACTCAAGCATAGACACAACAAAAGAACTAGGATTGAGAAGATAACATTAAAAACTAACTAAGGGCAAATCAGTAAATAAGGCGCCCAATAACCAATTCCGAAAATAAGTTGCACAACTACCACATACGAGTACATGCTCCCCAGTGGGTTCAATAGACCCGTTGCAAAACCAATGAGTCTATTGAACCTGTTGATATGCCTCATGATCTTTCAACTAGCAGGGCAATGAATAAAGATCAATCTATGTGATTTTATGAAATCGAGTTTAGGCCATCCAAATAAAAAAATGAAAACGAATCTAGGTCATCCAAATAAAAAAAATGAATGTACAAGATTAGTCCACAGTTCACGCATGGGGACTAGTAGGTCAAATAGCTTTATAGGTAGTGTAAATGCAAATTTGGTATTTACACCACATGCATTAAATATGGTCAAAGATTATTCTTTGTTTTTCATTTTTTTAAATTAAAATTATTAAAATTAAAAAAAAATTAAAAAAAAATTTTTTTAAAAAAAAGAACACCGTCCGTCACCTTCTCCTGTGAGAAGGCACCCCAGTGGGTTGTCTTCTCCGGTGAGAATGTAACCCAGTGGTTTGTTTAAAAAAAAAAAAAAAAAAAAAAAAAAAAAAAAAAAAAGAACACCGCCCGTCACCTTCTCTGCCTTCTCACCGGAGAAGGCAACTGGGCTGCCTTCTCCGGTGAGAAGGCACCCCAGTGGGTTGTCTTCTTCGGTGAGAAGGTAACCCAGTGGTTTGTTTAAAAAAAAAAAAAAAAAAAAAAAAAAAAAAACACCGCCCGTCACCTTCTCCGGTGAGAAGGCAGGGACTGCCTTCTCACTGGAGAAGACAATTGGGCTGCCTTCTTACCGCTTAAAAAAAAAAACAAAAAAAAAAAAAACGAAGGAAGCCTTCTCCGGTGAGAAGGCGATGGACATGCCTTCTCACGGAGAAGGCGACCCATGTAGCTTTCTCCGGTGAGAAGGCACCGAAGGCGGGATTTCTTTCTTTTTTTAAATTTTTTTTTTTTTTGAATTAATTAATTATTATTTAAATTTAATAAATGTGATTTAATTAGGGTGGTGAAAATAGCATTCTGACCACTCATTAGGCTATTTGCACCACCTATGTATTTATTATAAGTTTTTAACTTTTTATATTTTCAATGTACTTTTTATCACATTTTGGTCAAAGGGGTGCAAATAGCAACACCCATTTAAATATATTGAATTTTTATATTATTATTAATTATTAATTCATAAAATATTAAAATTAATTAATTTATGAAATAGGCAACTTAAAACTTCCTAAATATGCAATAAAACCCTAGCATCTTTTTTAGTCCCTTCCCTTCCCTTCCCAATTCCCATCGAGCATTGCCTAGGAGAAATATCGCGCAGAGAGAGAGAGAGAGACAGAGAGAGAGAGAGACAGAGAGTAGCGCAGCCTTCAACCACCAAAATACGCAATGCCCCAATAGATAGCGCCGCCCAGGGATTCTTCAGACGGAGAGACCTTACCTCAAGTAAGTACCATTCTATTTTTCTTCAGCATTTTTTTTTGGTAGTTTAAGTTAAATGTATTGGTCGACTTTAATTTCTTGTATATTTACCGAATGGTTTAAGCTGAAAATTTTTCGATTTTATTTGTAGAGCTATATTAATTTTATTGTTGTTAATCATGGGGAATTAGGTACTGTTGAAACCTGAATTGTTGGTTAATGAATTATGTGAATAAATGATTTAAGTGTACACTTTGCTAAGTTGGTTGTTTGAGACAATTTTACCTTCTTTTTTTTAAAGTGCTAGTAGTGTGCTCAACCGGTTCTTGAAGCTCCGAATTATTGACTATGGTTAGGATAAATTTCAGTTGTTTATGGATGGAAAATACTATACCAGTTTAGTTGGATTGGGATATGTGAGTTGGAGTATTTTCAGATTTGATAATGTGTATGGAATTAGTTGAAGGAGGGTATGCCATTCGTCCATGTATATTGGATTGGAAGTTTCTTGACTGTAATTGAAATAATCTATGTTAAACAATTTATTCTATATTCAAGGAGTTGCACCATGGGCCGATGGGTATCGATTTGTCATTGATTTTTCAATGTGCATTTAATCTTTGGAGTAATGGATGCTCTTTATTCATGTTTTGAAAAGTCATCTGGCATCTTTTTGAAGTGTTGATTATGCACAAATTTCCTTTGGCAAAATGCAAAAATCTTTTCTAAGAAAATCTGTCATCATTATCGAACTTGTTAAAACCAAAGCGTAGAAGGGAGTTGTGCGACAGGAAATCACCATGCCATAGTGAAGTGCAGTTGTGTGAAAAAGCGGCCGCTTCCTGGCAGAGCGACGAGGCGCAGCCTAGCGATGCTTTCTCATGAAAAGCGCAGTCAACTTGTAGGTCAGCACAAAAAATAAAATGAAAATAAAAATAAAAGACCTGAAATAGGGTTTGCAAAGTTGCAACCTTCTCTTCTCCAACCTTTTAAGACTTGAAAGGGCAGCTTGCTGCTCGCCACAGCCAGAAATTAGGGTTTGTGAGGTCACCACCTCATCTCCAGCAACCCTTTGATTGTTCAATCTCACCACTCACCAATGAAATTGCTATCCCACTTCGACCTTCGACCCAATAGGAGTACAGGAAAATGAAATCACTGTCTCACTCTGTTTCAGCCAGTGAAGTAGGCAACTAATCTGGGATTTTGGTTTTATGATATTCTTAATTTCTGATTAAAAAAAAATTCTGCCAGTGAAGTTTAAATTTATTTTTGAACTTTGAATATAAATCTTTAATTTTCTTAAAACTTTTTATAAAACTGTAAATTTTGTTATATAAATTTGTAATTTTTTTAAAACTTTTATAAAGTGGTAATTTATTTATTTTTTTATTTATTTTTATATACCATTTTGCATCGCTAGTTTAGTAATTGTGTTTTTTTAGAAAAGCGTTGCATTGTGTGAAAAAGCAATGCATTGCTTTGCGCGTTTGCTTTAAAGCAAAACCCAGCCTCATCCTGTTGCTACACTTTTTCACTTTAAAAAGTTTGTTCATTATTAACTAGGTTTTGAGAAGTCTAAGTAAATGGCCTTTGTAGATAGTATATAGCATATCCTAAAAAGGAGGAAAGACACATAACGTGTTCAAGTGTTTGCTAGATATACTTGATGAATGAAAAAGAATTATCTTGAGATGAAGATATATACAGTTTATGTTCTAATTTGTTGGAGGAAGATTTGGTGATGTTAGTTCTAGTTGTTTGTATAATTAATTCTACTATATCTGCTTTTTACATATGCTAAGTTGGCAATCCTTCCTATTCCATTTCAGTTCTTTTACCAGCTTATAAAGATTAAGCACAATTCTCTATATCCACCATTAATATGTACTCAACTTTGATATGTTTTGTTAAATTTATTGATAAGGAGTAATTACTAAGATGAAAATACTCAGGTAATTAGGTGTAGCTATACGATACTTGACACATTTAACCATTGAACAGATATAATCATCCATAGAAATTGCTTGATAAATAACCAGGTATTGAGACAATTCATTCAGAATTATATAGAAAATCTAAAAAGTGTAGTTGCGTTACTATAATTTCAGATTCTGCACTTCAAGTATACCATTTATAGAAGTACTAGACAAGAGGTAAGTATGTGTCGGAAATATAAATTAACTTTAGAAAGTAAAATGTCCGTTGTGTTTTGATACATTAGAAAGGTGTATTAGCCCGACGCATGTAAAATCCACCGTCAAATAAGGACACAATGCAATGCGGCTTCAGTTCTAATTTTGCGCCATAGACAGTAACGCTCAACATCAGCCATACTTGGGAAAGGACGAAAGGTTGATGAGTGAAACCTATCTTTTGGGACATTGTCTGTAGCCTAATAATCAAATATAATCTATTAAGCTCTTCCTATATTTTGTATGTAGCTCAAACTTTTTTGCCATTTTTGCATTAGTGAATTGTATATAAGTATATAACTCTTGTATGTGTGCCTAACCTGTTGTCATTCTTCAAGTCTTGGTGTTTTAGTTCAATTGTTTTGGCTCGAAAGTTGCAACATTAAAATAACCCTTTTCCTTTAATTGGATGTCCTAATGTGTCATCCAATGCTAAAGAATATAAATTGGAATATTTATTTATTAATTTTCTCTCTGCATACTTCTTTGGTTATCATACTTGTACTTCCATCGTTTTCAAGCACAGGAAAACCTAGAATACATGTTGGACTAAAGATCTGAACTAGTAAAATTATGCTTTTCTTTCTGTGTTTTTTCATTTTCAGTCCATTTAACTTATGCTTACTTCTGTACTTGTTCATAAATGATAAATGAGATTTTTGAGAGAGTTTCTCATTTAAGGTTCGGCTGAACTCGAGTTGGAAAAAAAATTATCTATTCATAACATTGAATAAATTTTTGTGAAGTAACTAATACCATTACAGTTTACATCCTGAAAGTATTTTTAAAGATTAAAGATATGCAGGCATTAACGGAGAAGTCACTGTTGGTGATAGTGAGATATCACATGATTATGCTATAGATCATTAAGATTTTAATTTTTAGTTGCCAAAAATAGGAAGGATTTTAATGTAATTGGAGCTAAAGAATTTAGCACACAGAAATATGGCATGACAATTTACATATCAAAAGAAAAAAATAAAATTAAAGACGGTTTACTCTCAGCTCAACCTTTTCTGTGTACAATTCTTATTATCACACAATGCTAGGTTCATTTCTTCTAAACTCTAGCCATATTGAGATGCTTGCTTTGGTTTTAGATTCAAAGTTTGGAATGGAGGACACTCCTAAAGTAGAGGCTGAATTGTCTGAGTTGGCCTCTGAAAATGCACAAGAAACCAGGGAAGAGATGCTTTCTAGGCACAGGTGAGAAGGCAAATTTGTTTTACTTTTGCCTTTTATCAAATATCCATGTTTCTTTATTATACGATTCAGTGGGGGTATATATTATTCTTTGAAATTTCATTGCATGGGAGTATGGGACTAGTCACTTAACTTTGAAAGAACATGGTTGCTTTTAGACAATTTTGCTAGTCTTTCCATTTGCAGTTTGTAACTAAAGCATCAATCAATTTGCCTAAACTTAATTAGGAGTTGTTGTGGCACTAATATTTCACGATTACTTTGTCTCTGTATCTAGTAATAGGGGAATAGATTTTCAGCTTTGTTTTTCTTCAATGTCATTTTACTTTGATGTATGCAGAAAAGAGATTTCCAAGCTACAGGACAAAGAAACTGCGATGAAAAAGGCAGCTGCAAAAGGTAGCAAGGCGGAGCAGAAAGCTAAGAAGAAACAAGTGGATGAAGAGATGTCTAAACTTTTGACAGAGCTCAAAGAAAAACATGCTGCAGAACTTGGTTCTCTGGGCTATAGTGGTAATATCGATGGGAAAGATAAAGGAAATCTTGAAAATTTGGTGAATGCCATTGCTGGGGTATCTGTCAGCAATCAGGCTGAACATTCAAAGCCTAGTAAGAGTGTGAAGAGGCGTGAAAAAAGAGCTCAACAAGAAGCAGCCAGAGAGCAAAGAATACAAGAAGAGCAGAGTAATATTACAAGTGATCGGGTCATTGAGAATGAGAAGCTGGAAAAGAAGCTTGAACCCCTTGGATTGACCATTAATGAAATAAAGCCTGATGGACACTGTCTCTATAGAGCTGTTGAGAATCAGCTAGCTGTACATTCTGGAGGCTCATCTCCTTATACTTACCTGGAACTACGACAGATGGTGGCTGCTTACATGAGGAAGCATGCATCTGATTTCCTTCCTTTTTTCCTCTCCGAGAATATTATTGAAGGCGAATCAGATGATTCTCTTATGCAGAGGTTTGATAAGTATTGTAGAGAAGTGGAGTCAACTGCAGCATGGGGAGGACAACTTGAGCTCGGTGCCCTAACTCATATCTTAAAGAAACATATCCTGATATATTCAGGATCTTTCCCTGATGTGGAGATGGGAAAGGAATACAAACCCGCCAGTGTCACTGCCTCATTTGAGCCAAGTATCGTGCTATCATACCACAGGCATGCATACGGACTTGGCGAGCATTATAACTCGGTCATCCCAAACTCGGCTTGATAGCTATGCATATGTCAGATGATCGAGGTTTCCTTCACTAGTATACCATTTACCTAGTACTTGTATTTTCACAAAATATTTACTTTATAGTTGATGATGCAATTTCGATTTTCCAGTTATTGTGATCTTATACTGCTGTTGGTGTTCTCCTTTCTGACTTTACATTTGTTCGATCATAGTTAATACATATTGTTGACTGTTTCATAATGTTTTTGTGCTTTGGCGTGCCTTTTTGAATGCAAAGAGAAACCAACACCTCATTTGAACTTCCTTTTCCCGTAATACTTTGTTGAAAACTATTCCTAGTAGCGGTATCTTCTAGGGTGTTGCAAATGAGCGCGAAGATTGGCCAACTCTGCTGCAGGCACTGGCAAAAATGGCAGCACAAGTCACGGCTCCTAATCTAACCCTGGGTAAGTTCATCTCTTCGTCTACTTGTTTCTTCTTTAGCTTTCTGCTCTACCGTGCTATCTTTTGCAGCTGCCTTTTTCATTGCAGTTTCTTTGTCCTGTAGCTTGGAAATCTCTTTTGTGCATTAATCACAGTAAAATGAGATTGGAGAAAAACAAAGCTGAAAATATATTTCGATATTACTCGAGATATAGATTAAATATGCTCACACACCTCTTCACGTGTGCGGTAGATTCGAACCCATGACCATTGGTCTGGCTCTGATACCAAATTAAAGCATGTGCTCCATCTCAACTAAAAGCTTAAGCTGATAGTTGGATTGCACGTTAATGGCTATATGCTCACAGATTATAGAGACATAGTAATAGTGTCACAACAACTAATCCATATTAAGTTTAGGCAAATTGATTGGTGAAATGGAAAGACTAGCTATATTTATGTCAAATGGACCAGGTTTTCTTCACTAGTACAACCATTAATCTAGTACTTGTATTGAATTTATAGTTGATACATTTTTTTTTTTAGTACTACTAACTCTGTTACAATGCAGTATCTGTTCATAACTACTTTCTCAACCTACTAAAGCACTAGGGATGTTAATTGAATCCGCTCTCGACGGGGAACCCGATTCCCCGCCCCTACGGGGACGGGGATGGGGACAGAAATATGGGATCGGGGATGGGGATGGGGATGGGGACAATTTTGAATTCCCCGCCGGAGACGGGGGCGGGGATGGGGAGTACTCTCCCTGCCCCGCCCCGTCCCGTCCCCGATATATATATATATATATATATATATATATATATATATATATATATATATATATATATATATATATATATATATATATATATATATATATTGCCACACAGCACACACAAATGTAGTACTTTGTATACAATATATATAATTTTAGAAGTATTCTTGTCATTGTATGTCATGCATATTTAAATAAAATGTTTAATTGTAAAATATTGAATACACCTTTGAGTTGGGGATGGATATATATGCGTTATTTATTTAAATGTTTTTAATGTTTAATTTTTTTTTTTTATAACTTATTAACGGGGGTGGGGATTCCCCGTGGGGATGGGGGATGGGGGGAATTTTTCATTCCCCGGCGGGGATGGGGATGGGGACGGGGAATGGGGGTATGTCCCCCGCCCCGTTGACATCCCTATAAAGCACTAAGATTCAATATCACCCCTATTGGGGATCGAACCCATGATCCCCCATTCGGGAGAGTCACTTCGTGTCACTAGACCACAAGGTCATTGTCATAGTTGATACAATTTCTTTCTTCCAGTTATTATGATCTTATACTTCTCTCAAAAGGTTGAATCCTCAACTCCAACTTAACCGAGCATGTGAGAGGATGTAAATTATGGTAATTCAATGGCTCAGCAGACATGACCAAATACCGGTGTGTACAAGGGGTTTGCACACTTTTGACATAATTCTCAACTGCTGCTGCCGAGTTTTGAATCCCCTTTGATCTTTTTCTCTCAAATACTACCTACTGAACTAGTTAAGTTAAGCCCATGCGGACTATTATGATCTTATGTGTAATTGGTGGTTGTCGTTAGGGAGATAGATACCATTGACGATTTGATCGATGATGGTGTTGCAAAATGGAATGAGCAGGTACTGTACTGTACTGATCAGAGAGGAAAACATCTGCAATCTATCCGGGCAATGTGTGTAATTCAAGGGGATTAGATTGTACTCCAACCATAATTCATAAAGCATTCGTCAGACTATATTAATTTTTTGTTTGGTTAGATCGGATAATAAAATTCGAATAAGCATGTACAAGAGTTTCAAATTTAGTATAAAATTACCAAGTAAAAGAAATAAATATAATAATTATTCTAATGCAAAACAAGTATGAGTTTTCATCAACCAGCATATTCATATTAATTGTTATCCCAACTTATCAATGTGGAGATCAATGAAATTCTTTTGCTTACCACTCTATATAGATGTTAATTCATTATATTAGACTAAATAAGGATTTTAGCAAATAAAAACATAAAAATAGTACTCCACTTCCTAAAATTTTCTTTCAATAGAAAGAGCCCATGGAAGACCATTGTCTACATTTTCCTTGGTGTAATTAACTCCAATAACAGGTGTAGAATGTTTTATTATAAATGATAATCTTTTTATGTTAAGAGTTTATTACAAAAATCTTTTAACAACTCTATCAAAAATAGCATGGGATCCTAATGGCCCCCGACTAGCTTGGGATAGTCAGGGCCGTCCCTGACCATGTTTGGCCAGGGCATACGCACAGGGCCCCAAATTTTGGGGGGCCCCAAATCATCTAATAGAATTTGTATATATTACAGAGTTATGTACACACATTTCATAGTTTGGTTGTTGTGCCCCCAAATTTTGGGGGTACTTTTTTTTTTTTTTTTTTTTTTTTTTTTAAAGTATATATTTATGTTTTATATATTAAATTATTAGTGTTGGTATAACTTATGTATAAAAAAAAAATTAAGATGGTCTAAAATTCTACAAAGCAAAATTTGTAGAATCCTATATATAATAAAGCCATATGGTCTTGTGAAAATTAAATGGTGATAATCAACATTTAATTTTCACAAGACTATAATAATATTGTTAATTATAATAATAATAATAATAATAATAATAATAATAATAATAATAATAATTGCAATAATAATAATGATAATAATTTTCACTGACAGTTTCTAATATATATATATATATATATATATATATATTTATTTATTTATTTATTTATTTATTTATTATATTTATTTATATTTCAATTTCTACTGGCAAATTATTGTGTGAACGATGGTCCACATAATTGTATGGATCATGAATATCAAATACATTTTTAATATATTAAAAATACATTATTTTTATATTGAAAGTACCTTACATACATATATAATGTACCCTTAGTATATTTAAAATATACTTTTTATTGCATGCAACCCCAAAGTTCATAAGTTTGAAATTAATATATGGCATAGCTAGGCGGCCTAATATTTAAGATTGTTGATGTGCATATTGAGGACTACGGAGACAAAGATGCGTTATTCGTGGATTCATCGGATACTATCCAAAAACACTCTCCAGCTTAATTGACGTGAAGTAGGCTTAGTAACATTAAGATTATATTCTCGAATTATTAGTTCTCATCTTTTATTGATTACACACTTAATTCGATAGTATTTGGAAGAAAAACTCAATGTTCGAACTAAGATTGTGATTTTGGTCTTTAAAGGTCAATTGTATGTTGCTACATCTAGAGTTAGAAATCTCAAAGGTCTAAAAATTTTGATCTGTGGTGACTCTAAAATTGTAATTCAATTACTATTGTAGTTTACTAAGTTCTTAAAAATTTGTAATATTAAATACTATTTACTAAATTTTTAATATAGTTTAAGATTTGTAGTAATCACCCACCTTAAATATTATTTTAATTGTAAATATATTTATGTTCATAATTTTATCATAGGAATTCACACATAATAATTATTAAATAACAAAAATTTTATATATGAATAAACTTCATATAGGGTATATTTTTATAACATATTTTCCGTGCATCGCACGGGACAAATACTAGTTATTATATATAAAGAGTAAAAATTACTCATATTCCTATTATAATGCATACACGCAAGATTTGTATTCACAACGAAGGAATTCTGTTTCAGTAATCATTAATTTGAAGTGCGTTGTTTGTGCATTTGACATCCTCAAAATTTTTTTTTTTTATAGATTTTTATGTATTTTGGTACAATATAATATATCTTCATTTGATTACAGTATATTTTTGTTACTTAAAATAATATCAGTTAGTCATTCTCTTCCTTCTATTTTTTGTTTAGACTTTTCCTAATATAATTTATTTTTTTGAAAGTTCCTAATATAATTTTTAAGTAATCAATTTCAATACTAATATACAAATCTTATAATTTCAAATAAATGTAAATTTTCAAATATTAGAAATATTTATAATTTTATCATTAATTTTATTATTTAAATATATAATAAAAAAAATTATCCATGTATCGCGGGTAATTTACTAGTTTACAATTATACAATAAGGGGCCCATGTTAAATTTTTGCACAGGACCCCAATCTTCTTAGGAACGGCCCTGGGGATAGTCATCACCGTCATCGTGATTAAAAGTGACTAAGACAAGCTCGTGAAGTGAAAAATGCTATAAAAAAATTATATTATATACCTCAATTTTAAACCAAACGCAGGAATCTACATTCTCAGCAATCTAAGAGCATCACCATCAAAGCATATTGTGGGGAGAATAGTACAATAATGGATGACTTGGAAGAGAGAGAGAGGGTAGGAGAGAGAAATTTGAGACCTTCCTGCAATATTGTGGGGAGAATAGTAAAATAATGGATGACTTAGAAGAGAGAGAGGGTAGGAGAGAGAAATTTGAGACCTTCCTGCAAGAGTGGAGAGAATAGGAGAGAGTGGGACCCATGCCTTCATTTGTTCCACTCCCTCACGCTGTGCGTGAGGGCCAGCCATTAAAATATTATTATTTTTATTTTAAAATTCAGTTTTTTTTTTTTTTTTTTTTCCCTCCCATCCCATCTTCTCTTTCCTAATCATTTTTACATTCTCCCCACATTATCTCCAACTGATGCGGATGTTCTAAAATACATTTCCTGAACCAAACACCCTCTAAGAGGCTAGATGGGGGTTTTTTCAGACGAGCTTGAAATGGGAAGGGCTCGTAAGGTTAGAGTTGGAGCTTAGGTCCCCTGTGTTTGGAGTATTCCATATTTAACCCCGCAAAAGTGAAAAGCCTTACACAAAAATAGCCTAATCTTCTGTGTGGAACGGAGTGGAGTCTCTTCAAAGTTCAAAAACAGGGAGGGAGCTGAAACTAACGGTATGTTCGTTTATAGTAACCCATTTTGCTACTCCTTCTGAAATTTACGTTTGCTTGATTGGCATCAAAGTTTGGGTACTTTAAATTTTAAATCAGCAAACATATACTGCCTGGGAGAGGGAAGGGGCAGTAAAGGTTGCATTTTAGGTTAAGAAAATAAGAATTACGCCAAACCCACTTGTCAATTTTAACTCTAAACTCTTAATCTGCTGCTGTTTTTTTTTTTTAAGGAAATGCTTATTTTCTGCTCTTTCTTTTCTTCAATAAAAATTTATATGATGGTAAATTGGAAGTTGTAGGGTAAAATACATTAACTTTTCTTTGAATGATGTTTTGTTTTGTTTATATTTTGGGTTTGAAAACAAATTTTTGTTCAGAGAGAAATTAAAATCATAAAAAGGTTGGGTCTCTTATATTGTCTGCAATTTGGTAAGTTGAAACTGGGGTGGATATGGATGACTAGTCGAGTTTGAATAACGTTTTAAAGTCTATAGAAAAAGTTGGCTCGAATACATTGGGCGAAATATTTATGGAACCAAAGGAGGGGTTGGTACAAGAAAAAAAATATGTAGTGATTGATTGAATATCGTCAATGTACATAAGGTGAGTTTGGAGTAGTGATGCACCTTTGTCTTCTGCGTTTCTATAGAGACAGGGAGCCTGGCAAAGTCGGGTGTGATGAATACCTTGTTTCACGCATGTTCTGCTGCTATAGTATCGAAGACGAGCTGTCTTGTTGGGGGCCACTCGATTTGCAGATTTTTAGCACTTCCATGGAAGGTGAGCTTCAGTCAAGCCGGGATTAGAAGAGTTCATTTAAACTCATTTTCGGAAAGAGTTTACGTTAGGTCTTATTCATCTAAAAAGTCAAGTAGGAATAGTTCTTGGTCACAAAAGTATGACCATGCTATGTCGGGAATGGAGGACGACGAGACAAATGCTTTCTTTGTTGTTAGAAAAGGAGATCTCGTTGGTATCTACAAACGTTTGAGTGATTGCCAGACTCAAGTTGGATCCTCGGTAAGTAATCCAATTTCTCTTTTCAACCTAGGGGAGAATGTGACCGATGTTTTGTTTCATTGCTTCATTCATAATGCATAATCCATATTTATGTCACTGTAAAGATGTAAATATCTCTCTCCCACTCCATTCCCTGCCCTCACGGCATCTTACTTTGTAGTTCTTTAATGGAAAAAATTGTCAAATAGGTAACTGGATTTATCGCTTTTGTGCAATTGGGTCATTGAACTTAAAACGTGTGCAATCGAACCATCAGACAAGCAAAATAGGTGAAGTTGGAACATTTTTCTAATTTCTTTTAATGCAATTTGAGTTAAAAACATTTCAATCCTTACTCCCAACTAGTATGTTAGAAAATACAACTCTTAGTACATACCGTGTAAGCAATATGATCGGATTTTACTAGGAAAAATGTCTCAATTGCACATATTTTGCTTGTTTGATGATTTGATTGTACACTTTCTAAGTTCAATGACCTAATTGCACAAAAAACAAGAAGTTCAGTGACTTATTTGACACTTTTTCTAGTGTTAGTTACATGTTTGCCATCCTATCTTTTTGTTCGAGATTCCATCGCTTACACATGCTTTGTACAAGTGATAACTCGGATATTTATTGTTTGAATTTCATTTTTACTTTATTTTTATTTTTATTTTTTATATATACAATAACTAGCCTTTTGATGATTTTTTTTCCCTATTTCCTCCCATTGGCAGATATGTGATCCTCCCGTTAGTGTGTATAAAGGCTATGCCATGCCTAAGGACACAGAAGACTACCTTATCTCTCGTGGGCTTGAAAATGCTCTTTATACTATCAGAGCCCAAGATCTAACTGAAGATCTTTTTGGCTCTCTGTCGCCATGCCCATTCCAGGTGAAGCAATTATACATGTGTGTTGTGTGTTTTAAAACAGTTTTTTTTTTTTTTTTTTTTTTTTTTTTTTTTTTTTTTTTAAATATATATAAATTTACAGTTTTAAGGAAACTTTGACATTCTTGATGAATGTTTTAGCATCTTGGAAGGTTCCTTAACATTTAGGCAATTGGTTTGTTTATCGGTATGTTTATTTGCAGGATGTTTCTCTAAGAAAGGATGCCAAGTTAGAACATGACAGTGAGCAAGCGCTATCATCAGGTGTGAGTGGCTGTTATGATGCTAATTGCATTTAAAAAAAAAAAAAAAAGCTTTTTCTGTATACTGATTAACCGGTAAAAATGTATTTGCACTTATCGAGAGGTTGACATTAGCAAGAATTTCAAACGTTTTTTTGGGTCTACTTTAATAGTGGGCTGCAAGTGAACCTGATTTCTTTGTGTTATCCTTAGCAGCGCTCTTGTACTCTTGAATTTGATGGTGCTTCTAAAGGAACCGGACAAGCGGGGGCAGGAGCTGTGGTCCGAGCTGATGATGGAAGTTTGGTAATTCTTATATTCTATTCATTGAGGGGTTTGTTCGTCCCTTTCACTTTCGTTTTTAATGTTTGGAACTTCTCCCGTGTACCTGTACAGACCTGTCGGCTTCGTGAGGGTTTGGGCATTGCAACATGTAATGCAGCTGAATATCGAGCCATTATTTTGGGGTTAAACTATGCACTTAGCAAAGGATTTACTAGCATTCGTGTTCAGGGTGACTCCAAACTTGTTTGTATGCAGGTTGGTTATGTATTTATTCTGCTCTCATTTTATTTTATTTTTAATAAATTTTTGTAATGGATAGATTCAGGGCCATTGGAAGGTTAAAAGCCAAAACCTTTCAATCCTGTGTGGGCAGGCAAAACAACTTAAGGATAGATTTCTTTCCTTCCAAATCATTCACGTTCTGCGGGTACCCTTTCTGCTTCGATTTACATCTTCTCTTTCTCTAACCACAATCTCACTGCTTATTATATATTACCATAAACACTGTCTATGATTTTGTTATGCTTTGGAAAATAACGTTATTCGTTTATATATGTATTTGTCCTGTAGAAATTCAACTCTGATGCCGATGTACAGGCAAACTTGGGCGTTGCACTTCCTGGTAAAAATTTATCGGATTTATTTCTACTTTTATAATTAAGGATACTAGGGTAGGGTGAGAACTGAGAAGAGATTAGTCAGGGTAGCTCAGGTGGTAAAGCAGAGGACTATGTAGACTTCAATTCTCCAATTTTCCATTTCTCTTGCTATTAAAAAGTCTTCAGGTGGGGGTAACCCCAGCTAAGATGGCAAGACATCCACACTTGTAACCATAAGGTCACGAGTTTAAATCTTTGCCCCTTTATTTGAGCCAGTCAGCTATGGGTAGCGTATGTTGGTTTACTTCCTTGTGATCCTTTGCTGGTTAGAGTCACAAGGTGAGGTTTACCTACACCCAAAAGGGTTGTGGGGTTTCCATCGTCATCCAACAAAAAAAGTCTTTTGTCCGTTCATCAATTTTACTGAACTTCGTTGTGTGTTTGATGCAGATGGCCAAATTCAAGAGGAGATTGAAAACTAATTACATTATTGCTGGAAAAAAAAAAACAAAAAACAAAACAAAACAAATTGCATCTGCTGCAATGCCTCCTGTCATTTGCCATTTCTTCTATATTCCATAATGTTAGTAGCAAAACTGCAAAAGATTGTTCCGTAGATAGGGAAAATGGTCCTCGGATAAAGTTACAGGGACACAAACCCACGCTTTACCATTTGTATTCATTAGTTATCGAAAATTGGCCAATCTTATATTTGAATTATACATTACAATAAAAGATTTTGATAAAAAAAAAAAAATTATCCTTGTGATCCTTTATCCTTTAGTTTCTTATTATTCAAATAGTTACGTATTGTTCTATATTTTAAATTTTGTTATAGACTCGTCTAAAGATAATGATTTGGAGACATTAAAGTTCTATTAATGGAATTAATTTATAAGAATGTTTGGTAAATAAAGTTCTATTAATGGAGTTAATTTATAAGAATGTTTGGTAAATAGCCGATAGGTATTAGCTAATTAAGTTAATAAGTTTAACTAGTTGATAACATTAGATAATTGTAGAAAAGTGTTTGGTAGATTAGCTAATAGCTAATAGCTAATAGTTGATTACATTCAATATTACTTTCTCAAAAAGTTGATCGAAAAAACTTCTTTGAATAATCTTTTGAATTTAGCATTTTTGAGCAATAAACTGTTACAAAAAACTAATTAATCAAACACTCATATTGATTGTTTAACTATGTCAAACAGCTAGAGTAATAAAAATAAAAAAAATAAAAAAACTCCAAAAGTATATTGAATGCTAAATATTTACTTATTTTGTATGACAATTGAAGATCATATTTTCAGTCAAACGGTATAAATACAAAATAAAGTAATGCTAGATCACTCATATTTTTCCCTCTAATCCATCCCATCCCTATTAATATGACATTATCTAATTAAATACTAAATTCTCTTTTTAATTAGTGGTGACTCACCAATTCATGGACACCCAATGAATGGATGCCACCCACATCAAGAGGGAAAATATGAGGGAAAATTCAAGAGGCAAGAATCATTTCCTACAAAATATTGACTACCATTCTGTTTCTATGATGAACAATCAATCCATTTATGCAAAGGTACATTCATCTTGAGTGACAATCTGACTGACCTCAAACTGTTTGGTGCCAGAAGTTTTATCCACAAGTGTAGTAGCCATGGACTTAAGCTGGTTAATCTTTTGGGTTAAAGAGCTGTTACCCATAAAAATTGTAGTAGCCATTGCCTTAACCCTGTTTACTTGTGCCGAGTCTGGGTATTTTTCTGACACTTCTGTGATATTTCTTTTTAAGTTTATGATGGCGACGGCCACGGTTGCACAGCACTTACCCAAATCTTTCAAATCCCTCTGTGCATTTGCAATAGTTGAATTGTTAATACATATACATCAAATGAGTAATCATTGTTCAGAAAATGAGAACTAAGCAGTCATTATATACACAAGTGGTTTACCTCATAATCTGGTTCCTCCCCTTTGGGTACACTATCATCTTCGATTTGTTGAATTGAGAGAGCTACATAGGGAGATCGAGAAAACTCGTGTCCATAAGGCATTTCAACACGCCCCTTTCCAAAACCTCCATGCTTGTCTTCCCAGTCCAGTCGTTGACATATGCAATCAGATGTCCACCCTTTTAGTGTAGGAAAATCCCTTGGAACTATCCTCCCTTGTGCAGTAACCACACGGTCTAGGTAAAGCATCTAACAGACATTAGATAAAAGGTGTTACTATAAATCAATATTAAGTCTCAGTTAGATATTTAACCTCTACTCTATTTCACCTGTAAGAACAGCATTGGACCAGTGAAAAAAGAGTCCGTCTTTGCCTTCCATGAATCCATCGCTTGGTTGAGCTTCTTGATCGTATAACCAGACCAGTCAAGTTCTCTTATTTGTTCAACATTAATAAGTGATTTCAAAATTTTGAAATTCACATATCTGGTTTGTGTTGATGCAAACAATGTGGACACAGCAAGTATCACAAAGTTCCTCTTGAACTCTTCACCATGTGACTTGTCAGCCTTCATAGCTTTGAGCATTGCTGATGCTGTGGGTGATCCACATTGTATGTTCCAACTTTCACGCCATCTGTCCAATAAATTCTTGTAACATTCATCAGAATCGTCACTGTTTCCTGCTTCAACAACCTCATTATCTGAGCACGGCAAGCCAAGAGTGAGATGAACATCATATGAATTGATTTCTATCTTCTTTCCACGACTGAAATCCACGTATAATGTTTGATCAGCTACCTCATAGCTGTTCGCAAGCCAATAAGACAGTGATGAAGCAAGTCGTTCAGTGGAAAGATGAAGCAACCCACCAAAACCAATCTCCTGTACCGCCTCTTTTTGCTCATCTGTGAGGTGCTTGAGCAATTGAGACAACGAGTTTGGGGAAGTTCGTGAAGCAAATAGAGATTTTTGAAGGTGCGGCTCCCCTTGATAATCCATGGCAGCATCCATATTTAATACTTCCCTGAATTATCATCCTCTACCTTTTATTTAATAGTTTAAGGATGATGAATAAAGATAAAATAGCAGTTCCATAGGAGTGTATAAATCTTATTTCCTTGCTTACACAAAACCAGTCTAATCAAAATGTACAGTATATATTCTACCTATAACCATGTTTAAAAGTAACTACTTCAAAACTGAGATGTGTGACATTATTTTTCCAATAATTACAGTTTTACAATAAAATAAGTGCACTGGTGTTGCCTTCCAAAAGGATTCCTCTTTCAATTAGGGATGCCTTAAGTCTTCCCCCCTTTTATGGTTGAAGAACTGCTTACTGTTTCTGTAGATACCAAATGATAAAAATCTTGGGACATGCAACATATGATGCATCAAGATGGAAATTGATAAGACTGATGATGTAATCTCAACCTAAGCTACCTGTCATTAAGAATCACAGTTTTTTACCTATGGCATATCGGCAAAATATTCAACAACTATTTGATGATTGAACTGTAACGGTAAAGGTTAATCATGAATAATAATACATCTCAATTTAGCATCTTTCTGGTATTCCAAACAACCATGCCATTCTGCATGATGCAACCTTATTTGGTATATCTGTTTTATTTATTTCCATCAGTCCCCTGCTTCATTTTCCTCAGATTGAATTGAGTTCTATATACAGCTCGAATCATATAACAGCAAAAGTGCTACTTTTCTCTGTCTAAACTATGCCAAATTTAACTAACACCTTAATTGAAGCACTAAATTTTAGTGCAGAGACACAACTTAAGTTAACAAATAATTAAGACAGAATGAATAGCAAGCAATGTAATACATTCCACCATTTTCTACAACCACTAGTTATCTCAAAGCATAAAATACTGAACATTCATAAAAAATGGAAATGGAACCTTTGAAGAAAGAGATTCAAATCTATACAGCCAATTACATATACTCCGTAGTAAATTACATCAGAATATTCATATTCAATTCCATCCCCCGCCCGATTTTCTTTAAATCGCATACAAACTAAACACCAGGAAGGCATTACAATTTATGTTCGCACAAAGAATTAGTTGAATACACCAAAAGAATTACAGGCAATATGATACTACTTTTGATGAAAATTTAGAGAAATTCGGCAATCGATAATTACCTCTCAGGCCACTCCGATATAGCCGCCGGCGAGAGCACCTGATTACGGTCTTCACTTGCGATGGATTCTTTACGCGGCTTGTACGGTTTCGCTCTTTTAGACGATCGTTCATCCTTGGTTCCGTCGTTGTCCATTCCGGCCGCCGATGACGCCGAACTGCTTCAGCTACCGCCGCCGCCGATGATGATGAGAGCCGTGAATCCTCCCCGGCAGTCGTTGCAGGATTTAGGGTTTCTGGAAGAAACGCTTAGGGTTTTTGTATGGCATTTATGGATGGGATAAGAAGAAGAAGATGATGGGAGAAGAAACGGGCGAGAATTATAGCAGGTAAGGTAAGGTAACTGAATTGCAAATCCCCGAGATTTCCGCGGCGATATTTTGATATGGAAAAGGTTTCGTTGTGATGGAAGTGGGGTAGGAGTAGGAATGCTTTGCCTGCTGACATGTGTTACGTGGGGTCCACAATGGATTTTCTATAACCGTCATCGTACGCTGTTACGATGACGTGGACGTTAACTCCGCGCGTGAAATGTGAATTAACAAAAAAAAGGAAAGAAAGTAGTGGAATTGGTGGAGCATAATTATTCTACTAATTTATATCTATTTACAAATATACAAACCTAAATAGTCAATAGAGTTAGATCATAATGGTAACTAAAAATTTTTAATGTAATTGTTTACTAAAATGAATGATTTATATTATTTTAATTTTTATTATTTTTTATATTTTATTTTATATTATATCAATTACTTTTTCTAAATAACAATGCATTTTGTTAATTGTTAGTGTAACTTTATTAACAAAGTATTTCATTAACTATTTATTAGTGTTAATTTATTGATTTTTATAAGGAAAATCTTAGTTTAGAACCCATCAAAATTGACATAATTGTTAAACATATGCTATGAATATGTTAGCGTTTATTAAAAAAAATAGAAAATAAAATTTAATATGAACTTTAGTCAATTAATTAGAATTGGGCATTGATAAAACGATACACCTAATTTACAATATATATTCAACACAAATGAGAAACTATGCATATTATCATTGTATTTTTTGGGAAAGAAGATTTGGTTATGTTTTTCAAGGTGCCATGCGCCAATGCACTAAAATTGCAGTGAAGCATACCAGGGGTCTAGATCAAATCAAGAATTCATTTTTGACGGAAATGGAAACAAGAGCAAGCATGGATCACGGCAATTAATAAGGTTTTGTATTGCAAAAATTATGTTTGGGTACTATTCAGTGGGGGTGTTTCCCTCTAAAACCGCTATTACACCCGTTAATTCAACATTTATTTCACAAGTCATCGTTATGCATTATTTAAAATATTTTACTTTTATGAAAAAATTGATAATCTTGCATTGATATACATCAGGATACCGAATGACACTTTGATAAATTTTGAAACACTAATTTAAAAAATACACATTGAGCATTGAACTATTTGTGCAATACGTGTGTGGTAACTAGTAAAAGATTATAAGATTGAATGAATTGAGCATGATTCTTATATCAAAGTTTAATTTTTTATTAACACTGTTTTAATCAAGCTCAAAAAAATAGTATCATATTCTAACTAATTAAAAAATGTGTTATAACTTTAATTATTTTTTTATTCTGATAAAATTAAGACTTACTCTTTAAAATTATACTTATCATGGTGGGACTGATGTGAGTAGTCATGTTAAACTAAGGATAATGCCATGTAGATGAAATCATATTTTTATTCATTTTTAAATTATTTGATGTCCTATCAAAAAAAAAATTATTTGATGTCATTTTATTAATTTTTTAAATAAATATTCACTTAGATTTAAGAGTCGTTATATCGTGGACCGCGGTTAAAACGGCACCGTTTCTTTAAGTAAAGAAACGGTGCGCTGTTAGTACGTGTTAACAGAGCGCACATTTGTTTGTATGTTAATTACCAACTAACACTACAGTATATCTAAAACTACACTGCCTCACGTATTATTTTTATATTATCAAATGAAACTGCAGTTATATCAAAATGATACTGTAATTGTGGTGAAATGTAACAGCAGTATATATGAAATAAAACTAAACAACAGTTCGCATATATGAGTGTACTAGTTTTTTTACGCGCTTTGCACGAATGGAATAATGCCAATGATTATTTTTAAATAAGTATTTTAAAGTATATCAATGCAATATTGTATAGGAGATGTTTATACATAAGTAAATAAATGTTGAAGTTGTTTATTTAAATCGGTAATTTAAAGTATATAAATTCAAAATAATATATGAGAGATTGATTATAATTGTTACTAAAATAAATATTTACGACTTTGTAATAACGCTAGTCTAAATACTTAGTCTAAAAGTGATAGTCTAAATAAATAGTACTTTTGGATTAAATTTCTCTAATTCTTCTTAATTCTCTTTTGGGTAGCATTGTCATTGTTTTCATCTTCAGTACATGTTTTCTCTCTTTTTTTTTTTATTTATTTTTTATTGGTAGTGTGTCATGTGCAATTAGGTTACTGGTGGCAGCAGCATAGAGGGATTCATCATGCAATGAGATTATAGTGTAGGAAGCTTTAAATTTGCCTTGCTGTGTATATGACTGAGATTTTAGTTGTACTATGATCTCTTTATCTTACAAACACTTATTGATATTTAGTAGTGATAGTTTTTCCCTACATGTTTCAATGTGTTGTGAGATGTGTGTCGTAGGTGAAAGTGTTGCACAAAATATTAATATTTATTATTTATTATATTTGTATAAAATACTTGGAACATTATTGGCTCTTATTAGATTTGTAAATATTGTAAAATGAAGCTCTAATTATATCAAAATGATCATGTAGTTGTGTTTTAATAAAACTATAGTGTATATAAAATAAAATTAAATACCATTTTCACATATTCGAATCTATAAATATCAAATGAAACTGTAGTTATATCAAAATGAAATTGTAGTGTTGAACTGAAACTTCAGTGTATACAAAATGAAACTGAATAACAAAGTTACTTTTTGCGGAAGGATGCGAAACGACGGTAAACGAATGCTGTTTCTTTTCATTAAACAAAACGACGTTATTTTGATGTGCGGTGCATAATCGATTATGCACCGCGGTGCGCGATATAATTTGCGAAGATGTGAGTTGTAATTTGATTCGTGAGTATTTCCTTGAATTCAAGTTATATGGGTCAACTAAATGAGTTAATACCCAAAATCGTCCTCGACTATAGTGGTTTTTCTCAATTTCGTCCTAAACGACTTTGGTGACCTAATATTGTCCCAGACTTTTGTGTTTCGCTCAATTTAGTCCTCCATTTGTTATTCCGTCAAATTGGTGTTAAATTAAGGGACAATTCAGTAATGTCAATATTGATCTCTCTTTACTTTCAACTTGTGAAGTGCGAAATTCCTCTTTCTTGTACGAATTACACCCAGAATTACTCCCGGACCTGCAAATCAAATTTTATATTCGCAGTTTTAGGAGTAATTCTGGGAGTAATTCGTAAAAAAAAAAAGGATTTCGCAGTTCACATGTCTATGAGTAAAGAGATGTTAATATTAAAATTACTGAATTGTCTATTTATGTAACACCAAATGGGCAGAATAACAAATGAGGGACTAAATTGAGCAAAAACATAAAAGTCTGGGACTAAATCGAGCGAAACACAAAAGTCTGGGACGATATTAGGTCACCAAAGTCGTTTAGGACGAAATTGAGAAAAATCACTATAGTCGAGGACGATTTTGGGTATTAACTCTCAACTAAATTTATTATGATGTTGGGTTTGGGAGGATTTAATATACACAACTTTTATAGAACTTAATTTAAAGTTAGGGGTGGGCGTTTCAGGCTCCGATTTGAGTTTTCTCAGTTTTGATTTTGAGTTTTTAGTTTAAAAAAAATTAAATCATTCGGTTTAACATGGTTTCAGTTCGATTTGAAACGGTTCAGTTTCAGTTCATATTTAATTTGGTTTGGTTAAGATCACGAAATTTTAACATTTTTTAATTTTCTAAACATACTACCAAACAATACATATTCACATAATCACATAATCCAAATTCAAAGTCTAAATATTATATAACAAAATAACAATCCAAAGTTCAAACACACTACTAAGTACTAATTACCAAACATCATTTTTTTTTTTTGCACAATCGACTGCTCATTTGACTAACTTGGAATATTTTATTGACAAGATGAATAATCATCTATCTGTATAGTTAATATTTGAATTACAAGTGTCAAGTACTGTACAGTTAATTTTTGGACACAATCCGTCATTGCTGGTGCATTGAAATATTATTTTCCAGTGCACTGGAAATATATTCCAATACTAGAAAATAATTCCAGTGCACTGAAAATCAAAATTAGAATGATGTTAAAGCACATTAAATTCATAGTAACATGAAACTAAGGAAAATACTGAATATTGTAAGAATAACCCAAGTTAAATATAATTGTGAGGTAAAGAACAATTGCGACAAACAACAAAAATGCAAAGTAGAGAACAAGCCATAAAAAATGTAGGACGTCGTGTGTTTGATATATATATATATATATATATATATATATATATATATATATATATATATATATATATATATATATATATATATATATAGAGTGAATGTCGGCTAGTCTGCTGGTGGAGTGGTGGAACTGTAAAGTTGGGAACTTCGGTTCGGGTAATCCGAACCGAAGTGGTTCAGTCCTAAACCGATAGGTAACCTGATCGGTTCGGGGTTCGGGTTTTACCCCGAACCGATCATTTTTTTTTTATAATAAATATATACAATGTATTAAATGTCTTAAGGTTTGAACCCTTGACCACCCAGTTTAAAATCAAGAGTTTTACCCATTAAGCTATGGCATATTTGTGTTAATGTTTACATTTGTATGTTAATACTAGTTCTTGTACGCGCTTTGCCTGAATGAAATAATGTCCAATGATTATTTTTAAATAAGTATTTCAAAGTATATCAATGCAATATTATATCGGAGATGTTCATGCATAGGTAAATAAATATTGAATTTGTTTATTTAAATCGATAATTTAAAGTATATAAATGCAAGATAATATATGAGAGATTGATTTTGTTGTCACTAAAATAAATGTTTACAACTTTGTAATAACGCGTCTAAATACTTAGTCTAAAAATATAGTCTAAATAAATACTATTTTTGGTTTCAATTTCTCTAATTCTTCTTAATTTTCTTTTGGGTAGCATTGTCATTGTCTTCATCTTCAGTACATGTCATCTTTTTTTTTTTTTTTTTTGATTGGTAATGTGTCATGTGCAATTGGGTTACTGGTGGTAGCATAGATGGATTCATCGTGCAATGAGATTATGGTGTAGGAAGCTTTAGATTTGTCTTGTTGTGTATATGATGGAATCTTAGTTGTATTATTAACTCTTTATTATCTTACAAGCACCTATTGATATTTAGTAGTGGTAGTTTTTCCCCTACATGTTTCATGCATTGTGAGATGTATGTTGTAGGTTGTCATGTGAAAGTATTGAACAAAATATTA